AGCAAAACCAAGAAACAAAAACACACACAAAACCCCTAAAACAACATAAATGTATATAAGAACAATAACAGCAAAAGAAAGTGAACACTATAATTTTAATGAACAATCTTGGCCCAGTGAAACTCATATTAATATGTACCTCCTTCTCACCTTTTCAGAAATGATGGACTATGCTTGTGGAGTATTGCATATATTATCAGATTCAATTGATTTGAGTCTTATTTTTCCTTACCTAATTCTGAATTTACTTATTTAAGAGCAAATTCAGCAGCATTTCCCCATCCAAGTCTACTTCCCATTCCCACTATCTCCACAGAACTGGACAGGGTTAAAAAGATTTGTTAAAAGACCCAATATCTGCATGTTTAGATCTTCCTATTGGCCCCTTCACTAAGCAAAAAGATACTTAACTGAGTCATTGCCTTAAGCAGAGTTCCTTCAGATGGAAGGAGGTTTTGCCCTTGTACAATCCAACTTTGAAATTTTTGCTGTCTTTAATCAAGTTTTTACCTGTTGCTTATTTTAGGGAGGGGGAAAACTAAAACTAGAACTTGAGTCTTTGCTTGAGATGTTGAACTTAATAGAATATAGATTCTGCTCTTGTGGGGTTGCTTCAGGGACACTGGGCCAATCTTCAGGTTGAGCCTCTAATTATGCTATTGCTTCTCCTGTAAAATTCAGACTGTAGTAGAGAAATTGGTATAGACTTGTATGCTGAAGACAAGGTATTTGTCTACAGATTCCAACTGAGTTATTAGAACAATAGGAATAGAATGAAAAGTTTCTCCCTCATCTAAAATTTCTAGGATGAGCACAGAGAGCAAGGCTGAGCGATAAGGTAGCTGGGAGTTGTTTCATCAGAAGTGGAGGGGATCTTACTTTAGCTAGAAAGGGTTCTTTAGAGAAGGTGCAGTTACTGTTATTCTATGACTTTAAATTCACTTTGCTTTTCCCAGTATCTGGAGGGAGCTTCCAGGCAATACCACAGTGAGTTGTCAAGAAGCAGATGTTATTACTGAACAATGCTGATCATAGACAAAAGAGTCATATTCCACCTATGTAATGTATGGTGCAATGGAAAAAGCATTAGATTTTAAGTCAAAGGATCTCAATTCAAATCCCTGTTCTGTCATTTACTATCTAAGTGGCCTTGGACAAGTCACTTAATCTCTCTAGACCATAATTTATGTAAGGAGTTGGTCTAGATGATTTCTTAATGTCCTTTCAGTCTCTTAATTTATGATCCTACGAATTTATCCTACTGTAGACTAGACTTCTCAACTTCTATCTCTGTAGGCCTCAGTTAACAAGAAGTTTTATCATGGCTTTCTCTCAAAAGCAGAATTTGTTATTCCTTTGCCCTAAGTCAAAACCAGATAAGATTTACCTCTGACAACCTTTCAATATTTCCTTAGAAAACTCTCTGGGTTCCAGTTTCCTAATCTGTACAGTGTGAGAATTAGATGATCTCTGTTATCCTAAATAACTTAAAATTCTATGATTCCTGTAGATTGTAATCTCTTTGAGGGGAGGAACTGTTTCATTTGTGTCTTCATATGCTCTTGGAGAGGTAATATGGTGTGGTATAGTATAGACAGAAAGACAGACAAGAAGCCAGGATGATGTGGGATAGAGCCCTGTACATGATATGTACTGATTTTGTGACCCTGGGCAAGTCACTTAACTTCTCAGTGCTCTAGGCCTGTGTTTCTCAATGTGTGCTCCCTATAGAGGTTTCTGAGGGCTTTTCAGGAGGTCTGAAAGATCCAAACTGTTTTCAAAATAATATGTAGATGTTTTACTTTCTAATATGGTAACTATTAATAGATATAATTCTCTCAAACAAAAACCCTTGAGGATAGGGGTCCTCAATAATTTTTAAGAGCATAAAGAGATTTTGAGACCCAAAAGTTTAGGAATCACTGCTCTAGGAAACTCTCTAAGACTATTAAGTTGCAAAAAAGATACTGATCTCCATTGGTACATGAAGTTTCCTCACCTGGGAATTACGTGTCCAGTCCTTTCCCTTTGAATCCCCAGTTCCTAACACAATGCTTGGCACATAGTAGGCCCTTTAAAATGCTTATTGATTAATCCTAAGATTTACCCAAGAACATATAGCTAATAAGTGCAAGAGAATATAGTATAGAATAGACTTAAGTATAGCATCAGAAAAGTAGACAAATGACCTTGTTGAATCAGAGAAACAGATAATTTAGTCCAATATTGTGTCTCAGAGAGTGGCAGCAATGGATGCTTTGGGGGAAAAAAAGGTGATTGATACTTGGCACAAACCTGATTTCTGAGGGCTCTACTCCAAATTATTCATCTTCCTTCACAACTCATCATCAACTATCTGTGATGTAGCTAATAACTTCTTAAGACATTAAAAAACTAAAACTCTGATAATATTTTGTGCTTTGGTTTCTCTTGAAGAAGGAACAACAAAGCAAAATTCCCATTGCCCACAGTCAATGAGGAGTGTGGCTGGAGCTCTCACTGCTCGGTTTTTGCAGGGCCTAGGGAGTATTTGCTGCAAAGAAGCAGGCGGCTAAGTCTTCAAGTTGGGAAGCTGTGTGCAAGGAAAAATGTTTGGTGTCTTTATTGAGATGGATTGTGAATCTTCCATTCTAATTTTTGTCCACAGTTGGAAGCAATTTTGCTAGAAAATTAGAATCTTTCCCAGGATACTGCCAGTACCATATGAAATAAGTGAAACTAATCTCTGTGTAAGTGCAGTCCACAGTGGTATTCTTGCCTTTTTGGATCATCAGGAACAAAAGACTCTGCTCCACCTTCTTCTGTTGACCACTCATCCCTGCTCAGAAAGAGAACGTCAGACACAAGACATTGGACACCAGCTCATTATTCTCCAGAATTTACTTTTTTTTTAAATCTCCTCACAGTCTACAAAGGAAAGCCAAAAAGATCCAAACTGATGTCCCAACTCTTTAACCCTTGAAAGACTTTCTCCTTAGCTACCTCAATCCCCAGAAACCCCCAACTCAGCCCATTTGAAGCTGGACAATCATAAATGAAGCTCTCCTCAGCTTCTTCATCATTCTTCCCTCTCAAATTTGCTGATGCTGTGAGTTGCACACCAGAGATTCCCATCTCCTTTAGCCAGCACTGCATTCTATTGTTTCTTCTTCTGATTGAAACAAACAAACAAAAAACAAGATGAGGCTCTCAGTCTAATAAGTGACAAGCACCAAACTTCCTATTAACACTCTCATTGAGATCTCAAGAGTGAATCTTTCTGTTTGGGTCTAAAAGGGAAAAGGTCAAGAAAAGCGTAGCCATCTTTTGGGCAGATACAAAATTGATGAGAAAACATATCATACAGCTTTATCTTATCCTGTCTCAGAGATGAAATTCTCATGACTTTTTGTCTCCCTTCAGTAGCGTTGAGGCAGCCTAGATCAGTGGATAAAATGCTAAGTCTGGAGCCAAGAAAATCTGGATTCATACTATGAATCTGACACACCAACTCTGACCCTGGGGTAAGTCAAGTGACTTTACCTTTTTGTGCCCTGGGTTACTTCCCAGGATGCATGTGTATATACTTGTACATATATGCATATAAATGTATACATATGTACATATATACACACATAATATTTGTACATACAATTTATAGCATTCTATATGATCTATATAAAATATATAGTGTTAATAGGTGTGAATCCAAATATATACATTCATATATACATGTATACACACATGATATATCATGCGTATGTATGTGCATAATGTACATATATGTTCCCAATATATAGTGTGCGTGCTTATATGTATACATGTAAATGTAATATATAATGTGATTATATAAATATGTAGTGTTAGATTCCAGTCCATATTTATACATATATACATTTATATAAACTATATCTCATATATTCACATACATAATGTACATATATACACATACATACATATACACATACATAGTGTATATGCATGTTCCCACTATATGGTGTATATGTATATGTGTACACATATGTAATAAATAATGTGATAAATGAAATTTGTAGTCTTAGTAGGTTCAAATACAAATATGCCTACATGTATATACATACACATTCTCTCTAATAATATATGGTGGAGACTAGACATGAATTAGGAAGAGATTAGATAACAATGCCCTTGAAACGTACAAGAGGTTCAAGCTATGATTTGGAAAATTAATTAACAAACCCTTGCTGAACCAGAAGAATCACAAGACTCTGGAGCCAGAGCTCCTGGGGAAGAGTACGGTGAGGGAAGAAGGATGATACAGGGGCTCAGTATTATACCTGCATACTTCAAATCCTATAGCATACATTCCTTCAGGGAAAGCTCTTCATTTTGAGAGGAGTGGATTCTGGGAACATCTTTGCACTGGTCATATAATGATGTTCCCTCCCACACACACTCCATCCCCAAGAGAGAATGTGAGAAGATGGAAATGAACATTTTTTTTGGAAGAAGGAATGAGTGAATGCAATCCAGGATGGAATAAAGAGTAACAGTGAATATCAAAGATAGCAATCAGACAAAGCCTTAGGAGATTGATGTGCGAAAACAAATGGAGCACAGAAAGCTACCCCCAAACTGAGATTATATTCAAGAATTTAACACTGGCAGTGGGACTCCAAGGCATGACAACTGCCTCAATTCCTACCCCTCAGTGTAAGCCAAGTTGAACTGTTAAGGGATGCGCTGTTCCCCCTCACACTGCCTTGTCTCTGTGCCACAACTTTATAGAACAGTGATGAAAGAACCAAACACCCAATCTCAGAGTTCTGGACTATAGTCAAGCTAAGAGGGAGGAAATATACATATATGCATGCATATATATGTGTAATTGTAGCTTTAGATGTATATAAGCTCCTAGTGTGAACCAGAAAGGATACACCTAAAACAACCACTCTTGGGATGTCCTTAGGCGCAACCCTGGCCAGGTTGGTGGCCTGAGTTCCAGGTGCAGGGTTTGTGTACAGGCTGCAGGCGCCTGGGGATCACTGTGCCTCCACACCACAGAGGTAGGTGCCCGAGTCTCCAGGCTGGGAGGCTGTGATGTACAGGGTGCTGAGACGCTCCTTTCTGTTGATTGTGGATCTTAACCTTCCTGTCTCCTTCTCCTCAGAAGTCATGAAAAATAGGGAGGTGAGGTCTTTCTCAAGATCCTGCTTGAACCACTGAAGCCCCCAGGAAGCACTGTCTGAGTAACTGCAGTTGAGAGCAGCGCTGTCTCCCTCCTGGACCTTCAAGGACTGAGGACTCTGCTCCACCGTTTGTTGGCTGCTTACCCCTGTGCAGAAATACAATGCCAGATGTGGGAAGTTGGTCAATTATACTATTCCTTTTATTTCTGTGACACATCAAGTAAATCCCAAGTAAACCAGACTTTGTCTTCCCCCTCAGCCTTGTGTTTCCTGAAACCCCCATCCCCATTTATTGTTTCCTGAGGCTCCTGGTTCCCATCTCTTCCAACTCACAGCTCCATTGAAGACATAAGATCATGAATAAGGCTCCCACTAGCTTCTCCATTCTTTCTCCAGCTACGGTCAGTGAACCTTCAGTTCTAGGATCAATAATCAGGACTAGGGCACTATAGTCGAGGGAAACTTTGTGAATTCTAAATGTTTCTAGCTCTTCTTCTCTTCCAGGAAATAAAAGGCATCCTCAAGCAGCTAAACAGCCAATCAGAGATGTGGATCTATTACCTTATGTACACTTCATGAAGTCCCATTTACCGCTGAGGGCATTTCTGTCTAGGGCAATACTGCCCTCCTTGGGCTAAATATTGAACTGCTGTGGCTATTAGAAAATGTTCAACCAGGATGGATTTCCCAAATAACTCTGGGGACAAAGAGATCCTTTCATCACTCTTCTTTCATTCAAAAAATAAACATTTATTAAATATAAACTATTACAAGTATTGTACCAGGCGGCAAGATAAAAAGATGAAAAATGACATTGCCTCTTCCCTTACTCAGCTTTTTAAGATTTGCAAAGCACTTTTCACATAATTATCTCATTTATGCCTCACAACAATGCTAGGAAATAGGTAAGACAGACATTATTATCCTCATGGATGATGAAACAAGCTAAGAGAAGTGATTTGCCCATGGTCACACAATTAGAAAGTATCAGAGGCAAGAACTGGACCTGGATCTTCCTGAAATCTATCTACTATACTCTGCTACTTCCCAGCTGACTCTAGTAGGTTGGTTATTTGGATGACAAACAAACATAGATGGTATAAAGTATAACATGGGAACAGCCATTAGAAACATGTCAATGGCTATGGTCAATTTTAGGAAGGAATGATCACTTTTAGCTATGTGAGAGGAAGGAGTTCAAAAAGAAGACTTAATAGAGATGTTGGGACCTTAAAGAAGGGATGTCCTACTCAGAAGATAAATAGAAGAGGGATTCCCAAAAGAGGGTAAGGTTCTGCAGATGATCCATTTTGCTGCTAACATTATACCAATAACATGAAGCTCTAAAACACTATAGAGTCTACTGAGATCAATAAACACTCAGAAGTGTTCAGCCTAACTATCGACAAAGGAAAAACTAAGTGAATGAAGAATGACTGTTTTTTCAGACTGAGACGAAGATGTCTGGACTGCCCATAGAAATGGTCCATCACTGCATATATTCTTGACTAGACATATGCTGAGTCCAGAATCAAACAGGAACAGGAGAGCAGGGACAGATTGCATTTAGGAAATTAGATAGCACTTTTAATTATCTTGAGCTTCCTAAAACAAAGCTCTATCTTTTTAACAGTAATATTCTTCAAGAGTTGTTATATGGCTGCAAAGTGTTCAAAACGTCAAAGAATTAAGTTGTAGGTCAGCAGCCAAGGACAATGAAGAGTCACATGGTGAGCTTGAGTAGATCGTATTATATTACCAATGAGAATTATAGGAGAAGCTGCATAAAGGCATAAAGGACATTGAAAGGGAAATGGATGACCAAAAAAAAAGGTGAGTCAATCACATAAGACAGTGGTCTATGAACTTTTTTGATCATTCACCCTATCAGTAAAAAGGTTTTGCCATATGCCTCTAACATATGTCTATTTCCTTACATATAAATTATGTATGTGACCGTGCTTCCAACCAAGCCTGGGATGTTTTGCCTGCTACTGGGTTTGCAAAAGGAAACATGACTTCTAACTGGTCAAGAAAATGATCACTTGCATCCTTTCACTCCACTGTCTCCCCAGATCTCCTCTTCTCTATTACTCCTTCCATTACAACATATTGCCTTTAAATATATCATGGCGATAATCCTAATTTTTTCTGGAGGTTAGTACTTGATTTACAATTTCTCTCACTACCATCTCCCTTGCCATTAGCTTCAGGAATTTCAGGATTTATGCTGCAAACCCCTCTAGCAAATTGCCTTCTCAATTCTTCAACCTTTTTAACCCCAACAACCTCCTTCTTCACTTCACTACAACCATCAAAACATGGTACCACCTTAGAATTTAGCATATCAAGTAACTGAGTCACCTCCAAAATCCAGAACTCTGAAACTCTGCAATCACATACATTCTCTTACACTCAACTGGCCCTTCATCTCTATTGTGATCTGCATCCTCTGAATCTATTGATTCTCCTAGTCCATTAGACATAGTCTCCCTATGATTATTTCCAATCTAAGTTTTGATCTCATGGATTGACATTTTAATGTCACAGTAGCTGCTACCCTAGAATCCCTTGCCTACAATCCTAATCTATGATGCCTTATACTTCCCCCAATCCCAACCCAAACCGTACTGATTTCTCCAAATCTGCCATAGGACTACTGAAGGAAAAAAAATCATGAAATTGATTTGATTTCACTCACTTCAAATTAATGATAAATGATCCTACCTGAACTCTCACTGAAATACACACACACACACCATAATGCTTCTCCATCTTCCTACAATCCTGTACTCATTTCCCATATTAGCTCTTTTAAAACAGTTCAGCTCACCTCTGACCAACAATCATATACTTCTAACCTACAGCAAATAGCCTAGGCTCCTATTTTCTGAGAATCGGGTCTTCTGACATAAAATTCCTAAATCCTTTTCCTTCATTCCCCAAAACTCAAAATCATCATTTTTGTCTCCCCTCCTACTTTCCTCTGGCCAAGAAGAATCCTCTTTCTCCCTTTGCCTAATCTCTCTATATAAATCTTTGATACCAGTACCTTCCATCTCCTCCAGGGCATTATTCTAGCAATCATTCTCTCTCTATCTCTATTTCTCTATTTGTCTGTCTTCCTTTCCCTTTCTCACTTTCTCTCTCTCTCTCTCTCTCTCTCTCTCTCTCTCTCTCTCTCTCTCTTTCTGTCTCTCTCTCTCCTTCTCCTTCTCCCCCTTACTCTCTCTCTGTATCTCTGTTTTTCTCTCTGTTTCTCTGTCTCTGTCTATCACTCTATGTCTGTCTGTCTATCTGTCATTCTCTCATATTCAGTCTTGATCTTATCACTAGCTGTTTCCCATTTAACTATGACTATACTCAGCCTTCCCTAAATCTAAAATGTTCCTTTGACTTTTGTACCCACATTTGGCTCCCATCCTACTTTCCTCTTCTCTTTCACTGCCTAAATTCTTAACTTTGCTTGGTGATCATTGGGATGAGAAATATAAGCAGACCTTCAAGGATTTAGTCAACTGGTTCACAGATGCACCAATATTGGCTTTTGTAGATCCAAGTAAGCCCTTAATTTGCACACAAACACTAGTCTAATATACCTTGGAACAATTTTGCACTAGGAAAATGTCTACTGCACCAAAAATCTACTGCATTTGTCACTGAAAGACTCGCTGAGAATCAGATTCATTATCACAAATGAGAGTTCTTGACTTTAAAGTGGGCTGACACTGAGAAATTATAAGAGTACAATTTCATGGATGGACAGAAAACAATCTGCTAACTCTTCAATAACTTGGACTAGGGAGAGAATTCTTAGCTAAACAAGAGATAGAGATGATCATAGAAGATCATAGAAGATAATTCAGTTACTATGTTTTTAAAAGCCTCTGTAAACACAAAACAAACACAACCAGTATTAGAAAGGAAGCCATTAATTAGGGGAAAATAGCTTTATGGAAATTTTTTCTGATAGATATGTAAAATACAAGATATATAAGTAATTAAAACAAATAAAGTTGAAAACGAGTCATTCCCCAATAGATAAGTGGTCAAAGGATATGAACAAGAGTCCTCAAAGGAAGAAATGAGAGCTATCAATAACCATCTAAGAACCCTCCAAATCAACTAATAAGAGAAACAAAAATCAAACCAGTCGTGAACTATCACCTTACACTCAACAAACTGGCAAAGAAATCAAAAGATAGGGTTAATCAATGATGGATGGATTGTGGAAACATTAATGCATTGTTTATGGAGCTATGAATTGTTACAACTATTCTGAAAAGTGATTTAGAATTATGCAAAAAGAGTTACTAGAACATCCATATCCTTTGACCCAGAGATTCCACTGCTAGAGACATACTCTAGGGATATCAGTGGCAAAAAGAAAGGCCCCCTCTATGGCAGAATATTTCTAGCAGCTCTGTTTAATACTGAAGAACTGAAAACAAAGTTGATGCCTATTGACAGGTAAATGGTTAAATAAATTGTTGTACATGAACATAATAGAACATTACCATGTTATAAGAGATAATGAATACCGAGAAGTATGGAAAGATGTACATAAGTTGATGCAAAGCAAAGTAGAATCAAGAACACGAAATGCAGATACCACAACAATATAAATGGGAACAACAATAAAAACAACAACAATAACAATGAAACAATCAAAACTGAATGGCATGAAATTATAATGACCAAGCATGGCCTGAAGAAAACAAGTACAAGAAGATAACTTTCCATCATTTCTCTGCAGATAGAGATAACTATTAGTATGAAATGCTACATATAACATCAGACTTTTTTGATCTGTTGGTTAGTTTTGCTGATTTTTTATACATTTTTCCCCCTCATTATAAGGAAAGGCCTTCTGGAAGTGGGAAGAGTAAGAGATACATTAAGAATTGCAGTTACTGTGAAAAACAATGATGTTTAAAACTATTTTTAAAATAAATTTACTATTTACTTATTTTCACTTTTTTCTATTTTAATTTTTAAATTCTCTCCTTCCCTCTTGCCCTTTTTCTATCCATTGAGAAGACAAGAAATATGATATCAAATATACATGTAAAATTGTGCCCCCCAAAATTTCCATATTAGCCATGTAGGGGGAAAAAGACAAGATAAAGTGAGGGAAAAAATTATGCTTCAATCTGCACTCAGACTCCATCAGTTCTCTCTCTGGAGATGGATAGCATTTTTTCATCATAAGTCCTTCAGAATTGTCTTGGATTATTGTATTGATTATAATAGCTAAGTCATTCACAGTTGATCATCCTTGTAATATTGCTGTTACTGTGCACAATGTTCTCCTGGTTCAGTTCACTTCACTTTTCATCAGTTTGTCTTCCTAGGTTTTTTCTGAAATCATCCTATTTGCCATTTCTTAGAGTACAATAGTATTCCATTACAATCCTATACCCCAACTTTTTTAGCCTTTCCTCAATTGATGGGCATAACC